TTTCGATTTTCTAGCTACCTAATCGTATCATGGATGTCTAGTTACCTGTCAAACCTTGGTGGAGGGGAGGGCTCAGTAGTTAAAAAAACAAAAGGGGGCGGGGCATCTGTGTGGGTCAGTTGGTTAAGTATCTGACTTGGGCTTGGGTCATGATCTTTGTGAGTTGGAACTCTGCATGGGGTTCTCTGCTGCCAGCTCGGATCCTCCCCCCCCCCCCCCCCCCCGCCCCGGCCCTTCTCCCATTTGCTCTCTCTCTCTCTCTGTCTCCCCCCTCTCAAAAATAAATAAACATTAAATAAAGGCAAAAGGGGGCTATGAATCTAAAGGACATTTGGCTGTGCCTCCTACGTCAGGGGAAGGAGCTATCTCACAGTAAATTAGATTAATTTTCTCCTGTTTCAGCAGAATGGGGACTTGTTCCATTTTGGGTTCTCCAGGAAGAAAATTCAGACAGAATTTAGAGTTCAGTATATTTATTAGGGAAGCAGAGGAAATGGGGTTGGGCAGAGGGGAAATTTATGCTATGATGAAAACCTGAGAACCTCGGCCACGCTCAAGAGGGTCTCTGGAGCTGAAACAGCCCATGCATATCGCCTGTGTCCATTTGTCATTGAATGCGGGCAGCCTCTGGAAGGGCTTGACTTTGGGTGAAGTATCTCTCTGCAGCAAAGCAATCTGTGAAGGGGCTGACAGATGAAGACCTCGGGGATGTCCTCCCAGAAGTTAGAGCAAGTCCTTCCCTGGAGGGGGTATGGCCAGCACATCCTCATGTTTCCAACAGTCCACCCTTCAAATCCTTCAGATTCACTTCAGGATTCTGGTGGATCACTGGCATCCAAGCGAACCATGTGGGTGCCAAATATGGTTGTCCTGTCCCCATGCTAAGAGCAGCCCTACCTCCTCTCAGTGACAAGGGCCAGTTACTTATGCCAAGACAAAGACTCCTCTTCTTGGCTGCTAATTTCCAGAAATGAGAACCCAAAGTACTCAGACTGCACCCTTAGCTTATAGTTCAATGGGACTCTTGCTATATTCTCTGGCACTGGTGTTCCCCCTTGGGGGTACAGGACCTCTAACTTTGCAGAGCCCAGAGCCGTGGGGATGGAAGGCACAAATTCCCCAAGAGGCTCATTGGGCATGATGGCGAGTGGGGCCGCTGCCGCTGCTACCCCTGAGTTCCTGAATCCAAGTATTTTCAACTGGAGACCCAACAGCTTGTACAGGTCTTCGGTTCAAGGTATAGGATGCATCCCTGAGGACAGCACAGCATCTTACTGAGCACTGTCTCTGAGTTGGCCCCTGGCTGTGCCTTCAGGGGGTCATTCTAACGTTCTATTAGGCCAGTAGCTTCTTGCTGGTGGAGTATATGATGTAACCAGTGAATCGTATGGTTTTGGGCACCCACTTGCACCCGCTTTGTGATAAAGGAGGACCCTGGGTCTAATGCAATGTTACGTAGGATCCTGGACCAGTGGATTAAACATGCTGTACAATGTGTGGTGCTAAGTGAGGCCCTTCAGGCAGGAAAGGCAAGCACATACCAGGAATGTGTGTCTGCCTGAAGGAATTTCTAGCCCTGCCAGGGAAGAAGGGACCCAATGAAGTTAACTTGCCACCAAGTAGTCAGAGGGTCTCCTTGAGGATCTGTGCCATATTGGAGGCTCAGTGTTGGTCTTCGCTGTTGGCGTTTGGATGTACAGAGGGAGGCAAGCGACTGTAATGATGACAATGTACCCTGGGAAGTGTTTCCCGTCTGGGGCTTGGAGTTTAAGGCACAAGCCCATCTTTGTTGGCAAATGGAGCTTACTGCCTTGTATCCAAAGGAGCTCTACGTTTCGGGGCAGCCGTCTGGCCCAGAGGAGCATCTACTGCAATGTTTTAAAAACTGCACATTAGTATCTACAACCTTGTTTATTAAGTACCCGGAAAGAGATGTCCAGGCTTCCCCTCCTAGAGGTTCTGATTGGATTGGTTTGGACACCAGTAACTTATGAATGTTCCCTTTGGGGATTCTAAGGTGCGACCAGGGTTGAGAACCACTATATTAACGGGTAGTGAAATAAAGTGAGGTCTTGATTAGCACTTTTTTTTCCCTTAAAAAACAGAAAATGTCATAGGGTATCTCATGGAGAAAGGATACCGTTTTTGAAATTTCCATTCCACATGTGTGGCTAATAGGTCGTGATGTAAAATGTACTGCTTTCAAGAGTTTGCAAAGCCACTGGTCTAAAGCAGTGCTTTTCACACTTCAGCATGTATAAGAGTAACTGTGTAAGGACCAGAAAAACCAAAAGCACACTTTTACTGGGCACCTGCTGGGAATAAGGCATGACCAGGGGCCCAGTCTCATGCTAAGGGCATCGGGTGTGGGAGGTACAAAATAAAGAGGTGGCAGAGAGGAGACAGGCCAGAGGGGGAGGGGAATTTGTGTTCATTTGAATCCTGCTTCTGCCACTGACCTTGAGCTGGCCATCTACCATCTCTCTGAGTCTCAGTTTCTTAACAGCAAAAGGGAACAATAACACCTACCCTTCCGATGTCATAATCCAACAAAGAATGATGGTCTCTGGAAAGCACTTTGGTAATTGTAAGGACTCTGCACCCATAGGGATTACTATTACTCAGAATCAAAGATTGTGCCATTGGCATCAAAGTTTGGGGGGATTTAGATTGGGTGGAGAGGACCTTCAGGCAGATACATAGGCCTAAGCCCAGTAGGACTTTGGGTGATGTCCTTCAGGGGCAGTGAAGGAGACCAGGTGGTTGGACCTGAGGGAGGGGGGTGGTAGAGTGTGCTGGGGCCGGGTTTAGAGGGCTGTCAGAGATTGCCAATGAATTGGGTCTTGTTGGAGCAGACAGTAGGGAGCCATTGCAGGTTCTTGAGCAGGAGAGCTCTACCTGAAAGAAGTGGAAGGTAGGAAAAGGTAGTCAAACATTCCTACCTCCTAAAGCTGTTCTTGACTGTCTCTAGAGAGACGTCTTCCTCTTGGCTCTCATGGTTATCTCTGGCTGGACTGTGTGTCTTTTTGGCAGCAGTTGTACTAGCTCAAGACTTCTTGGAAGCAGCCCTCATTTCCTCCCCAGTTTCCCCAGCCCACTGAGGTCTCTGCCTCCTTGGGGCTCTTATGTTGTGCACCCCACTTGTGGGGCTCTGCTCATGGAAGGCAGTGTTCTCAACTCAGTCTGTTCATTAGAATCACCTAGAATTTGTTTTTTAAAACGTCTCCAGGGGCGCCTGGGTGGCTTAAGCGTCGGTTAAGCATCCGACTTTCGCTTGGGTCATGATCTCGCGGTTCGTGGGTTCGAGCCCCGCATCGGGCTCTGTGCTGACTTCCAGTTCTGATCCTGTAGCCTTTTTCTGATTCTGTGTCTCCCTCTCTCTCTGACCCTCCCCTGCTCACGCTGTCTCTCTCTCTCTCTCCTAGAAATAAATAAAACGTTTAAAAAATTAAAAAAAAAAATAAAATGTCTCCATACGTAGGTTGCATCCCAGATCGATGTCACCTGTGGGGTTGGAGTCGGGCATTGGAATTGTTTTTAAACATCCCAGATGATTCCAAGATGCAGCCAGTTTTGTGATCCACAGACCGTCTCTGACAACCAGGAATCCTGCCTGGGGATTCCCGCTTCCACACGTGTACACCACCCCCTGCATCAGAGGTCAGGAAGGACGCATTAGGACTTCAACTTTATATCTATTTGCAATCCCATTCATGTTCAGAGACCACGTTCTACGAATGACTTACTGTGGCAGGGCAGCGGTGATGACAATAAGGATTGGTACTTCCTGTGGCCAGGCTCTCATCTGAGTGAAGCGGTACAGAAAGTGCTAGTGCTCCACAAAGGTACTATTATTATCCTCATTCGGCATGTGAAGGAGCTCACGGAAAGGGCGAGTAACCGGCCCATCACACCACTAAAAGCAGCCATGCCAAAATTCAAACCAGGTTGGCTCTAGCACCTACATTTTATCCACAAATAAATGATACACACATAAGATACAGATATCAGGGGCAGCTGCCCAGCATGTTTTATTGATAAATTTCATAATCAAATAGTTACACCATGATGGCAGATGATGAGTCTTTAAGGCGAGACCTAAATCTCACTCTTGTTTCTCTTCCCCACTAGAGGCCAGTGGGCATCTGGCTACCTCTCACCAAATGTGTCTGCCTTCTCCCAGAAGCATCTACTGACTGATAATCATAACCAGTGTTTATCAACAGTTGTCATGTGCCAGAAACTCTCATTTGTAATCTTTGCAACAATCCTGTGAAGTAACGGATAGATTTGTCTTCATTTTGCAAACGAGGAGACTGAGCCACCCAGTAACTTGCCAGAGGCTGAAACCCAAATTGTAAGACCACAGAGCTCATTCTCTCCCACTGTGAAAGGGTCGACGGAGAACAGCTTATGACAGTAGGGGCGGAGTATGAAGACATGAGGAAAGGGGCAGAGGTTGACTGTTCATTGTTCGCTCCTTTGACAGGTAGTACCCTCTGCCAGGAATGCCCATCCCTATTTATCCTACCTACACTTCTGTCCCCAGCTAAAAGATCGCCTCCTCCAGGAAGCCTGCCTTCCTTCAAGCTGCAGTGAGTTGCACCAGCCTTGTGGTTCATGCCTCGTCTTCCCCACTGGAAGCTGGGGCTCCTCGAGGGTCGGGCTGGGTCCCACTCAAGAAGCATCCGGGGGTTGAGCCTGTGCCATCTTTCCACCCAGGGCAGAGGGTCTCCCACACTCTGGGTTTTTCCTCCATGGGCTCCACTTCCCTTTCTTCCTCCTCTCCTTCTCCCTCCTTTTCCTACTTCCTCCATTCTTTCCTCCCCATCCTCTCTTCTCCCTCCTCCTTCTTCCCGATGGCGCCCCGTGTCTCCCTCCTCCCTGCCCTGCGCCGCTGCCAGGCCCGGCAGCTGCAGTGCCCCTGGCGGCCTAAAGAGGGGGCTGCGGCGCCGCCCGCTGGCCATGCAGCTGCGGCTTGAGCTTCCTGTGAGGTCAGGTGGGAGGAAGCGGCCTGGGAGCCGCGGGGAGTGGACGCAGCCGAGGCCCGGGAGCCGCGCCCGAAGGTGGGTGTCCGGGCCTGGGGCGCGGGCGAGCGGGCGCGCATCTCTCCTCTCCCGCGGGCCCGGAGTCGGCAGCCGGGGCGGCGCCCCGTCCCAGCAGCCCGCAGCCCCCCGCCCCCCAGCACGCCCCCCCCCCCAACTCCCGAGTCAGGTGTCCCAGGGCCAGCCGAGGCCACCGCCCACCCAGCGGGCTCGGCGTGGCAAAGCGCCGAGGGGCTGCGGAGCTCCGTGACCCGGTGGCCTTCTCCAGGGACCCCACGGGCTTCGGAAGGGGGACCCGTCTGTCCCAGGCTCTGGGCCAAGGGCAGCAGAACAGGGGTCCTTAACGCCCTCTGGCTCGTGTCACAGAGCTTTTCAGAATTTAGGAGAAAACTGGTTCATCTCCTTAGGAAAAAACGGCCTTTACACAGACTCAGGGAGAGCCACGGAAGGACCCCACCCCCACCTCCGGCCCCCGGACAGACACCCTTGGGCTCTGCGGAGTGGGGCCGGCCCAGACCCCCAGCGGCATCCCGCCTCCCATATTTTGGGAAGGTTGGCCCCGCCCCCGTGGTCACGGGAGGGACTCTTGTTATCTGAGAGATGAGCGCCAGGGGAGGGGTGTGCCCTCTTCGGGGGAAGGTCTGCGCCTCCCCCTGGCTCTGGCAGCCCTGTGGCCCTCACTGTGGCTGCTGCCAGGCAGGGGACCCCAAGTAGCTCCGAAGTGGGCCCAGAGCTTCTGTGAGGAGAAGGCCCGGGTCCTGGGCGTTTACTCCCAATGGGCCATTTTGTAACGGATGGGAAATGGGGACACCGGGGATCTTGGTGCCCTGGACTCCGTGTTTAGAGCCGAGAGAAGGACCTAGGGCCAGAGTTCCTGGCGTGGCCTCTGGCCGAGTGGTCCTGGGCAGGCGCCTAGACCTCTCTGGGTCTCTAGCTGTACCTGCCTCCGCTTGGGAGGTGTAAGTGCGATGGGCCTCCGTGGACTTCCCACGGGGGCCACAGCGTGGGCCCTTATCCCTGTGGTTGCTGGCAGTGCTGGCTCCTAGAACGTCCATCTCCAAGGATGCTTCTGGTAGTTTTCCCAGTGGACTCCATGTCTGAAAGATTTTTGTCTGTCAGATAACTTGCATTTATTTGTCTCCTTGTAATTAGGCAGGCGCAGTGCCCGCCGGGCGCAGGTAACCAGTGTGAGCACCTAGAATGGCAGTTTTTCCCTCTGAAGGCAAGCATGTCTATGTCTCTGATAAAGTGATTCTTTCAGGTCTGGAAGGGTGCAGCCCAGGACGGCCCTTAGCTCGCGGGAGGATGGTGCGGATCTTGGCCAATGGGGAAATCGTGCAGGACGACGACCCTCGCGTCAGGAACACTGCCCCTTCACGCAGCAGCACCCCCCGACAGGTAGGTGCCCGGTGCCCATGGCAGGGCCAGGGGAGCAGTGGCCTCCTGTCCTCTGAGCTCCTAGAAGCTCTCTTGCTAGTCATTAACCCTCTGTAGCCTGAAGCCCTCTTTGCAGAGAGTCGGGCTAGAGAACACGAGGGTCCAGACTTGGGGAAAATTGCAGATTTATTGCCCAGCCAGCCCCCTGTCTCCCCAGCTTTTCTTACTCTTCTGGAAGCCTTCTCAGACTTTGAATCCACCAGCTGCCTCTCCTTTAGCCTGGTTAACCCTGCCGGAGCCGGCATTGCTCTCTAAGAGTCGGCCGGCTGGGAGAGAACTGGGAAAGGTGGAGAAGACGGGCCCACGGCCACACCATGATGGTGTTAAAGGAAGGAGTGATGCGTGTTATGAATGTCTGCTCAGAAGCTGTGCTGTGGTCCAGCCCTCCTTGATCCCTTCCTCCTTTCCCCAGCCTGGGCACCTCCTCCCTGGCAGGACACGGGGAGATAGACTGGCACTTTCTGTGCTCTGAGAGCTTGTGACTCAGTGACTGGCATCCCTGTGGGCGGCATCTGGAGATTGCTGAGGAGGGAAGGTGTGGCCCTGAGGGACCAGAGAGGAGGGCAGAGCTGAGCCCGGAAGGTTCCCTTGCTGTCTCGTACTTCGATGCCAGAGAAGCTTTCTCTACATTCATTCATCTTTCTGTCTTCACCTTCCAGAGCTTTCTCAATAGGGGCCATGGTGCCCCCCTGGGGGGTTCCGGTCCTCGCCAGCAGCAGGCAGGTGCCAGGCTGGGTGCTGCTCAGTCCCCCTTCAATGACCTCAACCGGCAGCTGGTGAACATGGGCTTCCCCCAGTGGCATCTGGGCAACCATGCGGTGGAGCCGGTGACCTCCATCCTGCTCCTCTTCCTGCTCATGATGCTGGGTGTGCGGGGCCTCCTGCTGGTGGGCCTCGTCTACCTGGTGTCCCACCTTAGTCAGCGGTGACCTCCGGCAGCCAGTGGGGCAGGCATGCAGGAGAGGGAGTTTGGGGGCCTGTGTGGGGGGGAACAGGCACACAGGGAGGGGTCTGATGGTGCCTGGAAGATATGCTCAGAGACCGTGTTTTCATGTCACCTTAAGCACGAGGTGGAGGAAGCCCCTAGTCCTGCGTTCCCCAAGGACTGGGCGGGTCCTCTCCTTCCCCTGGGTGTTTTTAGGTAGCACGGGGCCTGCATTAAGCACCAAGTCAAAGCAAGAAAGGGATTCCCCTTTCCAAGTCTCTTCCGGGCCTTTCATGCCAAGAAGAAAGTCCCAGCTTGGTCGCCTTCCAGTACGTTCTCATGCGTCTGGAACCCATGCACGACTTCCCCCGTTACTAGCGAGGATGCCTTGGGCTTAAGGCTGTTGGGAAGAGTTTCCAGAATTTTATAGCTCTGTTTGTTTTAATGGTATATTTTTAATTGGCTACCTTTTGTTTATGACAGGTCTTACTGGCATCTACTTACTGTGGTGGTGTTTTCAATAAATACATTTAACTAAGAAGGAATCCCTGTAAAGACATTCATAAATAATTGTAAATCTGGAAGACATGAGGAGGGAGGTTGGGAGTGACTCTCTAAGAGTTGGACTCTCTAAGGGGTTGGGAACAGGGTGGAGGTGGGCATTTGGCCCTGGGGGGCGGGGGTCTGGGATTTCTAAGCTTTTCTTGAGAGGCTCTGGGAGCCTAGAGGGGGTCCAGGTGAAGCGTGGGCCCGGGCCCCTTGTCTGATGCTTGGATGACTTCTGGCTGACTCTGAGATGTTGGCCTGGGGGGGGGGGGTGGAGTCCTGTGGCCAGAATGCCCGATGGGCTGTGGCGAGGGGACAGCTGGGGTGCAAGGTTCCTGTGCCCAGGGGCTCTGACTAGAAGCCACTCGGCCTCCCTCCTGTGGCTCACTCTTCTTAAAAAGCAGGAGGTCTTGGGGCTGACTGCTCGTGCGTGTGGAGTAAGGGTGCCCTGCTTTTCACGAGTGGAGGCCTTGCGGTTTGGCCGGTGAGCCCTGGGTCCGTGTGGAAGCCCTGCTGGGGGCAGGTAGCACCAGATGGCTGAGGGCTCTGGGTATGGTGGCCAGAGGGAGGCTGGGTGGGCCCGAGGGCTTCCCTTGCCTGGGGACCAGATTTCTCACCTCTTAGGATTCTTCTGGGGCTGGGGGAAGAAGGCAGGTTGGGAGGTGCTTCCTGAAGGCTAGGGCTAGTGGAGCAAACCCTCATGCGGTGGACATGGGAAGGAAGGGGGGTAGTTTGAGATGGAGGTGGATTCTGTCCCTCCTCCTGAGAGCACTGTCCCCCAAAGCACCCCTGTGCCCAGTGCTGCCCTTGAGGGAGCTGGTGGCCTTTATCACAGACATTCCGGAAGCAGCTTTGTCGTGTTCGAACAGGACTCCTTTCTCAGTGTTTTCCGTGACTTTATTTCTCAGCAGCTGTTGGAATACGGTTTCCCTTTGTGATGGGCTACGGAGGGGAGGGTGCTGGGCCCCTGGGGATGTTGCAGAGAGGGAAAGGAGGGTCAGGGCCTGGGCAAGGGGAAGTGGTGACCAGGTCTGGCTGGCGCCCCTGCTGCCTCCCATGGCATCTTCTGCTCTGGCACATCTGGCCCCCACTGGCCATCCTCCAAGCTGGTGTGGCTGCAGCCTCAGGCCCACAGGGAAGGGATGACTGTGCGGCGTCCCCTCCCCTCAGACTTCCCCCTCAGCATGTCCCTCTGGGGGCTGGGCTTTCGCCTTCCTTTTGCTTTGCAAATCTGTGGGACTCTGGAGAAATCAATCTTAAGGGAACCCCCAATATAGAAAGTTCCTTTAAGGGGTGTGAATCTGAGTCCACAAATTCAGACCTGAGAACTTTTTTTTTACTTCTAGAATTTAGTTTCTGTTCCCGAAGCCCGAGCCTTCTGAGAACTGAAGATTCCTTAGAGAAAGCAGGGAAGCCCAGGGGTTTCCTCCCTGCTCCTGGCTGGAAGGAGCCTGGGGGGAGGGGCAGGAGGCCTGTCCTCATGTCCACGCACCACACCTACCCCAGGGGCAAAGGCCCCTCCAGCGACTTGTTAGCCGGCCTAAGGGAAGGGGTTGGGGGTTGGAGGTGAGCTGTTTGGAAAAGAAGTTGCATTTCTGGTCCAACACACACAACCCAGCCCTGACAGACTTGCTCTGGTTGAATTAGGAGCCCACCTCTTGACCCTTCTTTTTTCAACCCACCTTCCCTGTCCCCCTTGGGCTCTGGGCAGAGGCTGCTAACTGTTGCTCTGCTTCCCTTCTTAAAGTCTGGGGTCTGAAGGTACCCCGGTCCAGTCCGGCCCACTGGCGGAGCAGTGCGTGGAGGCTGAGTGCCCCCTAGGGTTGCGGCCTATGTAGCAGTGAGCGTCCGGCGGCCCTTCCCCTGCCTCCTGTCTGAGTGGCCTTCAGGGAGGCTCTCACCTGCGCCCGGAGAAGCGTGGTGGCCGGACGCAGGTCCCAGCGAGGCTTGGAGTGAGGCCGAAGGCTGTCTCGGCTTAGTGGGCATCTTGTTCCTAGTCCTTCTGTCTGAGGAGGAGGAGGGCCCTTCTCCCTCTGCCCACCCCCTGCCCCGCCTGCTGTGTGACAGGACCCCCCAGACTGGGCCGCTTTGAGGGCAGATTTTCAGGGAAGGTTTCTGCTAATCTCCAGGGCTAATCCTTGAAGCCCTGTGTCTCCGTGTCAGGTTGGATTTTCGGCCTGGCTGCCTTGGGCAGAGCTGCCCCCCACATGGCGTGAGCCACAGCTTAGATCTCTGGAAAGGGATCTGCCGCCTTTGTGGAAAGAGGAGCCCCCGCTCCCCGTCTGGAGTTATTCTGACTCCTTGGTTGGGGCTACCTGATGAGTGGGGCCGCTCGTCTCTGACTGCCTGTCCCCACTCCGTCCATGCCACAGACTCCCCGGGCTCCTGGGTCCTCCTTCCGTAAGCTCCAAGGCCTTCATGCTCCAAACCCTACCCCCCCCCGTCTAGCTAGGCTGCAGCTGCAGGCCACGTATTTGGCCCCTGAGATGGGGCCAAATGGCGCCTCCAGGTTGCCAGGTTCTTCAGGAAGCCCCCGCTGGCCCCCGGCTCTCTGGGACCTGGACCAGAACCCGGCCCTTTGACAACGGTCCCTGACCGGGGGCTCTGGCTCTGAGTTGAGAAAGAAGCCGGGTGTGGCGGTCAGAGCTTCTGACCTGGTGGGCAGGGAAGGCTTCCCCCTCCCCAGGCCAGTGGGCCCCAGAGGGAGCCTGTCTGTTTGTGGGCCCTGCTCTGCTATGTGGGTCCGTAACCTGGGACGGTTCACTCAGCCTCTCAACAGCCTTGTTCCTTAACTCTAAGGAGACGGATGATGATCAGGGTCCCTCCTGCCTCTCGGAGCCTCAGGCTCACCCTTGCATGATGGATGAGAGGGGGGCATAGAAAGGAGGGGCCGCACCCACCCCCATACTTCCTCCCCAGAGGCTGCACCTTGGACCCTGGCTCCTGTGCTGTGGGCTTTGGCCTAAGGTGGCACCTGGGACCCCCAGCTGGGGTAGTGCTGGGTTGTGAAGACAAGTGTTGCCCCCTCCTTGGCCATCGGAGAAGTACAGCTGCTTCTGTGTGGGCCTGGATGCTGAGCGGCCCACTGCAGATCTCCTGTGGGACGGGTGAATTTGCTGAGTGCTGTGTGCCCGACGTCAGCTGAGCCCTTTACATCTTTCATTTGCCCCTGACCTTTATGCCTCAGGCACTACTACTGTCCCTTTTATTTCCCAACTGAGCACACCTTGGAGCATTTACAAGTTGCCCTGGGACCCCTGGTGAACCAGAGTGTGGAGCGAGGATCAAACTGAGGCCCCATTCTTAACCATTCCCGATGTCAGAATCACCCATGGACAGGTTACAAAGGCAGATTCCCAGACCTCACTGCAGACCTTCTCAGACGTGCTGAGGGACGCGGCCCAGAGCCTGCCTCTTACAAAGCAGGCGATTTTGACACAAGGGTTGGGAGTAGAGGGACGGTAGAGCCCCTGACTCCGCAGAGGGTGCCTGCAGCCTGGAGAGAGGAGGGGAGCCTCCCCAGGTGAGGGAGGTGAGAGCTCCCACTCAGAGAGGAGGGAGACCAGACAGGTGCAGGCCTCACTCCCTGCTGGGACCTGCTGTGATCAGCTCTTGGAGGGCAGAGGGCACAGGGTGGGTGTGAGGGCATTGGCCGCAGCTGCCCGGCTGGGTGGCCTCCATAACGTTCCAGCTCTGGGCTGTGGTCCCTGAATAGGGGGGTAGCCCTCTTCCCTGCATTCCTGAATGCATGACATTTTCATTGCAAACTGACAAGGGGAGAAATCCAATTACCTCACACAGGGTCCCGGAAGGGCTGTGCAGGGGTGGTGAGGGTGTGGGAGGGAGTGCTGAGGGCTTTGCTGCCAAAACGTGAGGGAGAGAGAAGCCTGCAGCCTATCCACTGGGGCACGACAATGGGGGAGGCACAGCTCACCCTTCCTTGTGCCCAGGACCCAAAGGAACCACAAGAGAAAGTTCAAGAAGCAGATTGAGCACGTCAGTGAAACTGCAGTGCGTGTGTGTGTGTGTGTATGTGTGTGTGTGTGTGTGAGAGAGAGAGAGAGAGAGAGCGCCTTGGTTTGGGGGTGGGGCAAGAGCTGAAACCATTTGGCTTTTGGGACCCAGAGTTTGGGAAGAGGAACTGTCCAAAATGAAGCCTGAGCCTTTAGGACACCTTCCTCAAGTGCTGGGTGGGCTGGGCTCTGGGCTGGAGGCAGCAGGGCTGGGCTGCCTTCACTGGACCACCAACCTTCATCCCTGTGGTGCAGGGGCGGGGAGGGAGCCCCGCGGGAGGCCAAATACATAAGTTCACATGCTCAGCTCCATCCCAGTTAACCAGTGACCTTGGACACGGTCCACACACTCCCTGCCCCTCTGTCCCCCTCTGCACCTCACAGGGGCAGGAGGACTAAGTATTAATTTGTGGGAAGCACTTAGCAGTTTCTGGCACAAGGTTAGCAGAAAACAGTGACGTTAGGGTTTACTTAATATTTTTTGT